CCAGGCAAATCAGAAACGAACGAGAGAGAAATGTTGACAACATGAATATGGACTTGGCAACAATTTACGAATGGGGATCCAATAACTTGATAGATTTCAATGCAAACAAAACAAAAGCATACCTTTTCTCTAGAAAAACCGATCTCACTGTGCCCAACATAAGCTTGTCAGGAGTAACCAAACCTTCGAAGACATCTTTTTCGATGCTTGGTATTACTGTCAGCAATAACTTTTCTTGGGAAAATCACTTGAGATCAATTGCTGGTTTTCTATTTTGTCCAAGAGCTATTACACTCTCAGTCAGCTGCTTATGATCTATAAGGCACAGATCCGACCTGTCCTGGGATTCTGTTCCCATATATGGAGTGCAGCACCTAAAAACGGACCCTGAAGCTGTTGGATTCTGTCCAAAAAAGAGCAATTCGTCTCGTGGCTGATGCCTCGCACACAAACTCACTCACTTCTCTGGAACACCGTAGAAAAGTTGGCGATCTGGCTCTATTTTATAGATATTCTCATAAACGATGAACAAACAGTCACAAGAATATCATTGATCATCAATAAATCTGACTAAACACATGGATTACACAGTTAGGTTGTATCTTAAGGAAAAAGTCTATGCTACAGAGGTGAATTCATGTCAAGAGTTGCGATATCAAATTGAACATTACTCAAATGGCCTAACAGCTGATCCTCAACCATCTAGAAAAACATTACATTCTTGAGAAAGAAAAAGATAGAATCCTTCATTCGTAAAAACGGGGAACATTTTGAACACTTACTCTAACTGATTCAATATTTTATATTGTTAGTCAAATAATTCATCTCAATTTTAACACGGAACACATTATTGAGTTTTATCAAGACTACCTTTTTGGTGATAAATTGAATGATGTTCGAGTTCACATTAAATGTTAACTAAAATATCACACCTCGTTGAAGTTTCGTTCAAAATAACTCGGTACAAATTCATGAGATGTGTCAACTTCCAGAACATATCCATTCTAGATTTCATAACAATGTTGCCAGTATAGTGTTGGCATAATCGTGAAAAACATATGGAAACATGTTTTTTCAAACACATTGTATCTTGAGAAAGGATACTGTTATGAACTTTTTTTACTGAGCAAACCCAACTCATCCCTACATACCACTCTATTCACTTTGATCATGTAGCCATATTGTTGTAAATAGGTATTCATTTATTCTGAATAAAGTTATTATTATTATTTTGCTGTGTTCTTGTTCTACCTACCTTATCAACGGGGTCACCTTCTTTTTAAACACCCTGTATATCAATGTTTGTTGCCATTTCAATATCATGAAACGCGATGATGATATAGTGAACAAAAATGCCTCAGAGAATATATTTTTCTGGTCCACCCTATACGATAATTGCGAAAGCTCATTTGGCGCCGTATTTGAACAGGGTGTTTGCTTATGACTGTATTATAAACCATACCTAGCGGACCAAATGATGCCCTCGAGTAATGTACCGCACAGAGGTTGGAAGTTACGACATACTATGGGCAATATAGTCAAATCTTGTCGAATGCGACGAAGGAGAAATTCGCCTGAAATTAATCTGAGACAATAGTAAACTTCAAACTAAGGGGACTGAGTGTTACTAAAGGACCACACTGAAGTGGGTAAAACACAGGCAGAACATGTACAGAGATACAATGACTTGGTGATTCTGGAGGCTATATCTTCGATCGACTTGCGAATGAAGCTGAGATTCTTTTGGTTGATTCATTCAAACCAAAAAATGGCCCTCATTCAAAACACAAGCATGCCTTTTACTATCAGCAATTACCTTTCTTGGGAAAATCACGTGAGATCAATTGCTAAAAGTGCATCCCAAAAACTTGGTTTCTTGTTTCGGGCCAGGAGCTATTTCACTTTCAGCCAGCTGCTTATGATCTATTTGGCACAGATCCGACCTGTCCTGGAGTACTGTTCCCATATTTGGAGTGCAGCACTCAAACATACCCTGAAATTGTTGGATTCTGTCCAAAAAAAGGGTAATTCGTCTCGTGGGTGATGCCTCGCTAACATACTCACTCACTTCTCTGGATCACTGTAGAAAAGTTGGCGATCTGGCACTTTTTTATAGATATTTTCATGGACGATGCTGTTCTGAAATATCAACAATTGCTCCTCCCTTGGCAGTCCCCGCGAGATTAACCCGTCGAGTTGAGGCTGCGCACCCCTTGGTGGTAATTTTGGAGACCTGCAGAACATCTCTTTCCAAAGACTCGTTCATCCAACGAACAGCGAGCCTCTGGAACACATTGCCATGGGAGGTCTTCCACGAGGCATATAACCTCCAGAATTTTTAGAAAAACACTAATTCCTTCCTTATTTTCCTTGGTTCTCACGATGATGTCTGAACATTACAGGATATCCCTTTTCGTGGGAACCAGAACATACAAAAAAAAATGAAAAATCTATCATAGAATACAATGAAAAACGGCATCGATGTGTGTTGCAGATCTCTCTACCCGGAATGATCAAGCCTTATCAGAAATGCATTATGAGATAATGACAGCAATTCAAGATACAAAGAAGTATCAACAACTCTGGAATAGTTAGGTTAGTTTGGGTTCAAAGTGGTATATTTGGCCTTCCACTACGACTCATAAAGTGATTTATCATTGTTCGAGACCGCTGAAGAATCTCAAACCTCAGAGTATATTATTATAATAGAAATTCCATAATCGGAGTTATGGAATTTTTGTTGAAATTAAAAAAAATGGCTGCTCCAAGATGGCGGACAAGATTTGGTCCGATTCCATTCAAAATTGGTAAGTGGAGGTTTTTGAGGTCCAAGGTCATGATTTTTTCGTTAAAATCCATAAATTCAAGATGGCGGCTTCCGAATAATTTTTTGTTTTTGTATAAATGACGATAACTCCGTTGTTATCAACACAAAACTATTACTGCGACACATCATCTGAAAGAGAAAAAAAAGTTATTTGTAACTAAGTCATAGTGAGCTATGCCCTACATTTGAAAAACTAAAGTTGGTGCTGATATCTCAAATTCTAGAAAAGTTGGTATAAATTTTATATTTTTGTCGAAATCACTTCGAAAAACTGTCATGAGAATGTGAAATTCCTATTTGAATATTTTCATAAATAAAGAAGTTACGGAGGTGACATGAAAATGATCAAAATATGTTTTTTGCGTATAAAACAAAAACGAATAGATTTTATCAAAATATTTTGTCACATTATAGTTGGCCTGGACAAACTCCACATTTGGTGTCATTTAACCGACCTCGTATCTCTCACCGTCAAAAAGATACCCATGGTGAGCATGATAAGTGGAACACACTGTATAGGTCAACGGTAAATGGCTGAAACTAGCATCACAAATTTCGAGTCAAAGTCAAGTCCAGCAGGGTGCTCATCCATTCAGTTTCGAGAACGTCAAGTTGTGAAATCTGATCAGAATGTCCGCTCCTATCCCAGATGCCATTCCCATCCCTTACGGCATAATTCCAAATCCCGATTTCCCAGTCGACTTGGACGGATCCTCTTGGCGATTCCTTCGACTTGCGAGACATCTGGCGTGGAATCGATCAAACAGTCTCGTCCCAACACTTCACTATCCGCGATTTCGACTCAAGAAATCTCAGTCAAGGTCATAGTTCAGTCATTACTCATTTTTCCTCATCATATTATAGATGAATATGAATATTTGATTCATTGTAAATATGTACGTAGCGAATTGTTCCAATTTTCTTGAATTTGAAGTAGGTAAGTACCTATTTCCCATATACCTAATAATACTGATTTATATTTGGTATACAGTGTCATTCATAAAGTCGGCATCATATGGGAAAAACTTTTATTAATGACTTATTTTGGAATTCGAGTTGGACGTTGAGTTTTGCTTTAAAAAAGATGAAAAATGGCCTACTCAATCGGGGTCACGTGACTTTCGCTACATGTCAAAAGTGACATTTTTTCAAATTAATCGCTGAAAGTAGGCTTATTTGTTCGAATATCGAAAAAGTTTACTTGAAAAAGTCATTTCTATTTCAATATTACACACGCTTCTCGAATTTGATCTTTCTATTGCAACTTTTAGATTTTGATTTTTTTAAAATGTTTTCGAAATTTCTGTAATATTTGAAGAATTGTTAATTCCACGTAACTACTTCATACCAGTAGCTTTTTTATGCTACTGACTTACAATTACTCATTATCACTGATTATGGACAGAAATATGATTTTCTTCAGAAAATGATAATACCCGCTTCCAAATTCTGTTATGTTTGATGCAAAGTTGATATATCGTCAAGCATTTAGAAACTAAATTCATAAACTGATCTTTTCTGTACTGAAAAAATAAATTCAAATGAATTTAGTTTATAAATGCTTGACTCAAACATAACAGAATTTTGATGTTATGTTTGCATCAAACATAACAGAATTTTGAAGCAGAGATTATCATTTTCTGAAGAAAATCATATTTTTGTCGATAATTAGTGATAATTAGTAATTGAAAGTTAGTAGCATGATGAAGCTACTGGTATGAAGTAGTTTTATCGAATTTACAATTTTTTTAATATTACAGAAATTTTGAAATTTTTAAAAAAATATCGAAATCTAAAAAATATAATAGAAAGATAAAATCATGTTCACATATTTTCTCATAAAAATAAATCACTTTTAGCACTAGTGCTGAAAGTGATTTACTTTTAACACCAGTGTCATAAACTGACATTTTAGACATTGACAGCATGCGTCAAAAATTATACTTTTACTGACGTTTGTAGAAAAAAAAATCCGAAAGAGAAAACAGATTCAATATTCGCTATGCGTAGAAAACGGGGGAATCATTTGGAATCATTAGAGATTAACAAACGCAAAAATTCTAACATTTACCAGTGATCAACTCAATCTCAATGATTCACCGCTGTTGAATCTGTTTTCTATAATATGCTATTCCTTTCAAAAAATGAGAATAGTACTCTCAAGAGTAATGTTGTTTTATATTTGCCTCACCGCGTATACGGTTGAAACTATTTGATATCTGATGATTGTATTTTAGATTTGAGAACAACATTTTCTACTATTCCGTTCAACATTGAAAAAAGCGACGAAACATTCACTTACTTCAATTGCAAAGACCAAGTATTCCTAGAGAATAAAGCGAGTAAGAAACTGAGGAGAAATAATTAACGACCTATATATGAATTGAAAAACCTCGAAGAACAATTTCCTGTAAAATGTCAAAGGGAAATTTAAACTTCTTATTTAGTGGGTTCAAAGCAGATGAAATATTTAAATTACCATTCCATTCAGAGAGCAGTCTTACAGTGGTTGATTTTCTTTCAACTACGCGCGATCTCCTGAAACAAAAATAATCATTAAAACTCCTTCTCATGCTTGTAGACAGTAAAAAGTTTGATTTTATCAATCGAAATGTTGTTGATTCAGTCTGTGTCAAACTCCACATATAAATGATTCCTGTTCATTTTCTGATCTGGAATTCTGATAATTCAACAAAAATTGAAGTTTGAAAAATTAAATTCGTATTCTTCTTCAGTTTCTACAGTCATTTGCAGTCATCATTGAGAAAACATGATAACTAAAGTAGTAGCTCCTAGTCTCCATTTCTTCAGGGGCTCAAGTAAATTATATCTGAACTGACATTTATTTACCCTCATGGTTTCAACAAAATTTGAAAAACGATCAACAGATATTGTTCGTCATTTCCAAGTATACAAAGATTTATACGACGGAAAAAATGAATACAAGAAGAATTCACCTCAGTACCTATACCCAGTTGCTGTGTATGTTTGTAAGAAGGTATTTTTTTTATCGCTTGGAGCGCACGCAGGGGAATCCCTATAATGTTCAAAGAAAATCGTGCGTTTTTAGGGAGGATAGGGTCAGGAGGTAGGTATTGGAATTTTTTTTGAACTTCTGGAGATTATATGTACACGATGAAAAATAAAATCAATAATCTCAGAAATCTCCCTTCTCGAGAAGAAGTGAACAAAGTTAGTAATGGTTAATATAAAAGGAAGTGGAACTGAGAAATTATATGAACTCACACTTTTCGATCAGTTTGATGTGTGGCGAACAGCGAGGCAGTGGAACACATTGCCAAGGGAGGTGTTCCCCGAGGCATATAACCATGTGAATGGGAACCAATAGTGACACCCTGTATAGCTTGAATATGCCATCGAATATTCACAGCTGTGATTAATCTTCATTTTTCACAAAATAGTCCCAAACCAACTGGCAATCTTCCTCTATTTCGAGCATCTGCCATCCCGCATAAAATTGTATCTTTATCGTCGAAAACTTTTTTATTGTTGTACCTTTTTCAAGGTGCACAATCTCGTTTAGACCATTCTCGAATCTTACCCCCGTAAAATATTCCTGTTGGAAACTTCTCCAACAGATAGAGGGCATAAATTCACGACTACTTTTCTCGAATTGTTATGTCAGCAATTTATATACAATAAAGATAAATTTTACGGTCATAAGGAGATAATGGAAATTGGAAGAGGGATCTCTTTTGTTGGGAAAATTGATTTTTTATCGAAATCATTATCTAAACTGTTATAGGAGTTTTCACCGAATGGACAAGTGTTCGTCCAGTCCAGGCAGTAATTTATTTCATCAGGTACATCAATATACGTGGTCCGAAAATAAAAGAGAGAAATATGAGAAGAAAGTTGTTCAGACTTTTTTTATACAGGGTGTCATGACTGGCCAGACATAGATTAATGGCGGATATAGTCAAGGTGATAATATATATGTGAAGAAATATATTTTGCCTATTCATTACAGTGCATTATTTGATGGACGATATCTCAGGAACGTGTATATGTTATCGTTTGAAACCCAGCAACTTACCTCTACCGCAAGGATCAATTCTAGCACCAAAACTATTTCAACTCCATATCAACGATTTGTTGGAAGCAACTTCATGTCCAGTACACAGCTTCGCGGATGATAGTACCCTCCATACCGCCTTCTCTTCCAGGGCTTCATTACCAGCCAGGCAAATCAGAAACGAACCAGAAAGGAATATTGACAACATAAATATGGACTTGGCAACAATTCTTGAATGGGAATCCAATTACTTGGTAGATTTCAGTGCGAACAGAATACAAGCATGCATTTTCTCCAGAAAAGCCGATCTCACTGTGCCCAACATTAGCTTGTCAGGAGTAATCATACCTTTGGAGACATGCATTCTGATGCTTGGTAATACTATCAGCAATAACCTTTTTTGCAAAAATCACGTGAGATCAATTGCTGAAAGTGCATCCCAAAAACGGTTTTCTGTTCCGGGCCAGGAGCTATTTCACCTCCAGTCAGCTGCATATGATCTATAGAGCACAGATCCGACTTGTCCTGGAATACTGTTTCCATATTTGGATTTCATCACCCAAACATACCCTGACACTGTTGGATTCTGTCCAAAAAAGGACAATTCGTCTCGCTCACAAACTCTCTCACTTTTCTGGAACACCGTAGAAAAGTTGACGATCTGGCTCTATTTTATAAATATCTTCATGGACCATGCTCTTCTGAAATATCGACAATTGTTCCTTCCTTGGCAGTCCCCACAAGATCACTTTTGAGACCTGCAGAACATCTCCTTTCAAAGAGTCGTTCATCCAACGAACAACGAGGCTCTGAAACACATTGCCAAGTGAGGTGTTTCCCGAGGCATATAACCCCCAGAAATTTGAGGAGAACACCAATTCCTACCTTATTTCCCTTGAATCTCACGATGTCCTCTGAACATTACAGAATATCTCTTTTCGTTGGAACCAGAACATAAAAAAAACTGACCCACCACGCACGATGGCCTATAGTGGGACAAAATTCCGGAGCCTCACTTGGAAAAATCATATCATTGCGAAATATCAAATTTTGACTTCCTGAATTGTATTTTTCGGAAACAATCATCAGAATCAGAAATATCGTGACACTATTGAAAGCATTGACGTAACGCAGATGCATCAACATGATTCCCAATCAAACATATCATGTAGAGTTCAAAAAAAATATTTTTCCTCCTGAATTACCTACTCATTAGAAAGCAGAGTAGACTCCTACAATCAGATTCAATCAAAATAAAACCATTTGAGTGGTTGACCTCAGGTGGGCAGCCACGGCCGAAGTCTCCCATTCAAATATTGATAATGAAATTGAGGTGATACTATCGACACAACTTTCTATGTTGACAGATGGAACTCCATTCCATTGAGCTTGCGCATTTGATCCCTACCATATATCTCACTCACTCTAACTCATAACTCTGGACCAAGTGACATCAGTCGACGTCATGAATGACAGTTCAGATTCTTGCGCAGATAAGGATTTGGGCGCGCAATTTGGATGAGATTTTTGAGTTTTAGGGGTGTAGGAAGTAGGTTTTGTCGTTGGTTGGTACAAGTTCGTATAGAATGAGGTGTCAAGCAGGGTAATGCCTTAGGTCAAACTTTTTTTTGTCTTGCTATAGATAAATTGACCAAATCATTAAAATACTGAATCAAATTTCTGGTATCTCGATGATGGTGTCATTAGAGATAATGAGTCTCAGATAATTGACATTAGATTTCAACAAATGCAAAATATTTTGACGAAAAAATTGAGATAGAATCGACCTAATTTGGAATTGAAATACAGCCATATTCCGGAATAGTTTAATTATTGAAAAAGAATGCGCAGAGTCAATATGATGACAATGATATTCAGAATAACTTTAATTACATCGGAATCTCCAAACTCAATATAAATTCAGTTACTGATTTGATGAATGGGGAATTTGTTGAATTATGTGATTCAATGCAAATGTTATAATTATTATCCACTAGTGATGAATGAATTCCAAACAGAATGCCTGTAGTAATTATTTGATGAAAACACAATAATAATGCCTGCTCCAAGCATACCAATGCATGCATGATCCTCTCATGATTTATGGCTGACCATGAACAAATGTTAGAGGACCACGAAAATTGAACCTTAAATTTGACTCTGATGAGGAATGGTGCTGCTAGTGCATCTATATATGATTGTCCATATGTGCCATCACGGATTCCACCTCCTTCATCAGGTTTGTTACTTTACCGATGTAGTCTCTCGGCATAGTATCCGTTTTGTATGTGCTTATCAGTATTTCTAAAATATCCACAAGTTGAATGACATAAAGTTTTGTGCGAATTTCCTTCAATTTTCGCCACGCTTCTTTAGCAGTTGTGCATTGATCTACATTATGAAGATTCAAATCTAGAGAAAAGGTATGCTTGTGTTTTGTTTGCACTGAAATCTACCAAGTTATTGGATCCCCATTCGAGAATTGTTGCCAAGTTCATAATCATGTTTTTTTTATCGCTTGAAGCGCACGAAAGGGAATCCCTATACTGTTCAGAGAACATCGTGCGTTTCTAGGGAGGATAGGGATAGGAGGTAGGTATTGGATTTTTTTTTGAACTTCTGGAGATTATATGTTGTCAACATTCTTCCCTTGATTGTTCCTGATTTGCCTGGCTGGAATTGGAGCCCTGGACTGGAAGAGAAGGCGGTATGGTGGGTACTATCATCCGCGAAGCTGTGTACTGGACGTGAAGTTGTTTCCAACAAATCGTTGATATGGAGTAGAAATAGTGTTGGTGCTAGAATTGATCCTTGCGGAACACCGGAATTTATGATTATTTCAATAACTTCTTCGCAGGTTTAGAGTTCTGGGCCCATAACCTGTTGTGAGCCTTCATATCTTCAAGTAATTTGTTCCCCTTTTCGGGGTGAAAGAAAAACTCCACGTCTTTCACTTGTGACTTCAATTCATTGACTCGCTTTCAAACTTGGCAGTTACAAAGAACAATTATTCAATAGGTATTGAAAAAATGATCGCTATACTAACAATTGACTGCAAATAATCATGAGCACTGTGAATTGTTCAAATCGTTGTTGTTAATCACAATATGAGTTCTATAACTCGACACCTAATCAATTTCAAATCGATTTTTTATAATCATCGAATCTTTATTCCTGTTTTGTTGAATCTGCCTCGAGTAAATCACAACAAAATCACTAAAGTACATAAGGAACGAATTCCTGAAGTTCAAGTCTAAGTATACTTAATTCTAATGGATTCGCAATATACACTTACCAAGGAAAATGATTGTGTCTATCGATTCAAGAGAAAGAACAGCAAGTTCAGCGAAGTATATTAACGATACGAAACCTTTGTTTGATTTTCATAATTAGTTTTCAGTCCCAAAATGCGTATATTCTGTTGACATTTCCGTATTTGTGGGGGAAATGTTAATTAAAGTCGGCATGTTACGAAGAAAGCGGAAAACCAATCCCAGTGACT